AACCCCTGTGCATCGCCGGGTGTGACCCAAAAAGCAAAAAAAGAAAAAGTGTTAAAAAAAAAGAGTGGCTATTGTAGTGAAGCTGCCTGGGCATATCGGATTCATGACCTTCCTTCTCTGTGCCTCGGTTTCTTCATTTGCAAACAGGAATGGTTCTGAAGATTCAAGATATCTCTCAAATGACAAACAACACCTTGTGCTCAGTCAGTGACCCAAGAGACCACACTAGGGCTGAAGCAGATGCCCCAGGGAGAGTCGAGGGCTCACCCCTTGGCTATATCAGCCAGATTTGGAGGCTGGCTGGGTCTGGGAGGAGACACCCAGGGCTCTTGTTTTTGCCAAGGGGGGGGTGTGGAGCACCTGGAGCAGGTTACTGAGTGAGGACAGGGGCAGACTGGGGACAGGGCCTTTCCGCTGGGGACAGAGCTAAGAAGCTGTGCTGCAGGTGTAGAGCAAAGAGGCCTGGGTAGGAGATATACCACTTAAAGTGCACCCAGGCACCTAGGAAGGTCTGGGTCCCCATGCGCCCAATGATGAAGGCCTCCGGGAGCCTCTGTCTCAGGACCCGTGCCATGGGAGTGAGGGAAGTGACTGGGCCTGGGCTTCCCTCATAAGGCGGGGGATGTCCGCACACTTGAGAACAGACGCCTGACCTCTTCGGCAGAATCACTTAATCCCTGTCATGTCGCTTAACCTATTTGTGACTCAGCTCCTGTGCTGGGACGCGGGAGAGCAATGCCAGCTTCACAGAACTGTGATGAGGAAACCCATGGATCTTTGTGAAGTACCAAGAGCCGGCTCTGCTACTGCTGGCTGCTCTGTGTCCATCCCGACACACCTGCCAGGCCGGGGCGGGCGGAGGCTGTGTCTGGCTGGCATGGGTGTCCCCGAGATGACTCACCGTCTGGCTTGGGAGTCTTCTTCAGGCACACGGCCCTAGCTCCCTGCCCCGTTCTGAGCCTCAGCCTGGATCGCGTTGGATCATACACTGACTGACAGGCCATTTTCCTGGCATTTCCCCCGATAAATCTGAGAAGGAAGAGATCACTCCGTTGTCTGCCTTGGCAGGAGACAAGTGGCTCTGCCAGCACTGAGAGCAGACAAGCGGAAGGTCCCATTGATGTCTCCCCTGGCAACCAGTGAACAGTGATCGCCCCAAGTCGTCTTGGTCTCCCAGGAGAGGGGGGAATGAGGAGGCACTACGAAGAAGAAAGGAAGGCGAGAAAGAAGAGCTTTGAGGAGAACACAACGAGGGGCAAAGTTTGGGAAAGTCACATTTTCACAGCTTTGAGTGACTCTGGGTACTCGCGGCCCTCGACCCATAGACACATGTCACCTCTCTTCTCGCAACCTCCCCTCTCAGATGCCCGGTCCAGCGAAGGCTGGAGTGACCATCTGTGCGACTCTCTATGGCATGGGGTTTTAGTGAAGGCAGGCAGCCCCGGTCTCAGGCCCACTCAGCCCCATCACTAGCTGCATTTTTTTTTTAAATCACAAGCAATATCACAGCGGTAGGGCATTTGCCTTGTACACAACCGGCCCGGCCAACCCGGGTTCGATTCCTCCGCCCTCTCGGAGAGCCCGGCAAGCTACCAAGAGTATCTCGCCCGCACGGCAGAGCCTGGCAAGCTCCCCGTGACATATTCAATATGTCAAACACAGTAACAACAAGTCTCAAAATGGAGACGATACTGGGCCCGCTCGAGCAAATCGATGAACAGCGGGAGGACAGTTCCACAGTGCTAATCACACCAGCTGACTCAGCACTCAGGAATCACTCCTAGAGGTGTTTGAGGGGGACGAAATGGGGTGCTGGGGATGAAACCCAAGTTAGAGGCCTGCAAGGCAAGTGGTTCCCTACTGTGTCATCTTGACAAGTGATCTGGAATACTTCTGCGCTTCTGTTTCTCCATCTGTGAAGTGGGATCACTAGTCCCGCTCACAGGGTAGCGGCAGAGATGAAATACTTGTGAAGCCGGGGACTAGCACGGGGCTCCGAGGGCATCTTGGCTGTGGATGCTGCCCGTGAAACTCACCCGTGAGAGCTTCCAGACTGGGTCCTAGGGCCCAGCACCCCGGGACTCCCACTCACTCCCCCAGCCCCTCACATCCCCTCGACTCTCCGTGCCTATATCCAAGCTGTTCTTTGCCTCCCAGAAGCTGGGTGGGTTGTGTGGGGCCAGATTTATTCTTGGGGTCCTCAAATCCTTGGAGGGGCTTTAAGAACTTCACCATCCTTTCTTAAAACTGTGCACGTGAGCGATGAACCGGAGGGTTGGTCTAGGCGTTCAGAGCTCAGATTTCCCGGGGCAGGGTTAGGCTGGCTTGTTATTTCCCTGAAAGAAAGCAGCCCAATTCCTCCCTGACCTGGCAAGATTTTTTTTTTCTTGATAACTGTTAAAATTGAGATTTAATCATAATGAGTTCTTTCCTCCTGCCTCAGAAGACAACAGTGGCGGGAGATGAAACAGTGGCCGGGTCCTGGGCAGGTGTCTCCCCTAGCAGTGGGGTCGGGCACCCCCTACGGTGCCTAGGCACCGCCACAGGGACACCCCCTCAACCCCCCCACCCCCACCCCCACCCCCGAGCATCGCGGAGCGACCCCGCCAAACACAAAGGCAGCAAGCACCGCGCTAGCACGGCGGGCCGGTCGGGCTCCATCCGGCACCCAGCGTGGTCCCCCAGCCCCACCGGTGCGTCCCCTGAAGGAAGGGGGGAAGGGGAAGACCCCCAGGAATCCCAGAGAGCTGCGGGCTGTGCGCCTCTTCCCAAGACCCTCGTCTAATTCCCCAGCGATTCCCGGGCCCCGGGGGTCGCTGCCCGCCGCCGCTGTCCCTCCGCCCCCTCGGGAGCAGTCGGACAGGCGGGAGGCCTTGGCCGGCTCCGTGCAGTCGGACCCTGACCCGGCCCGGAGTAGGGCGCCGCCTCAGTTTCCCCACGCGCCCGCGCGGGGCGGGCACCTGGCAGCCCGACCCCCAGCCCCGGCGGGAAGCGGCCCGCGCCCGGATTTCCCTCCCGGGTGGGGCCGCGGTGACTCAGCCTCCCCCCGCAGGCTTCCGTGTTTGCCTTCCTCCTCGGCCACGTGGCTGCCAGGGGACCCGCCTCCCCCAGCCCGCCCGGGGACCCCAGACCAGCCAGATCCCGGGACCCCCGCCAGTCCAGCCCGACCCCGGGACCCCCGTCCCCGCCCATCCCGCCCCCGGGACCCCGCCCAGCCAGATCCGGGGACCCCGTCAGCCCAGCCCAACCCCCGGAACCCCCGCTCCCGCCCAGCCCGCCCCCGGGACCCCAGACAGCCCGATCCAGGGACCCCGCTCAGCCAGATCCCGGGACCCCCGCAAGCCCAGCCCGACCCCGGACCCCGCCCAGTCAGACCCGCGAGACCCCAGCACCCGCCTAGCCGAAAACGACCCCCGGGACCTCCGCCCAGCCCGATCCCGGGACCCCCGCCAGCCCAGCCCGACCCCCGGGACCCCCGCCCCAGCCAGCCGAACCCGACCCCTTGGACCTCCGCCCAGCCCGACCCCCCCCCACCCCCGCTCAGCCCGAACCCGAGACTCCCGTCCAGCCCAACCCCTGGACCCCCGCTCAGCCCAATCCTGGGACCCCCGCCAGCCCAGCCCGACCCCGGGACCCCCACCCAGCCCGACCCCCAAGACCCCAGCCCAGACCGACCCCTGGGACCCCCGCCCCCGCCCAGCCCGACCCCGGGGCCCCCGCTCAGCCCGATCCCCGAGACCCCCGCCAGCCCAGACCGACCCCCGGGACCCCCGCCCCGCCCAGCCCGACCCTTGGACCACCGCTCAGCCCGATCCCGGGACCCCCGCCAGCCCAGACCGACCCCCGGGACCCCCGCCCCCGCCCAGCCCGACCCCGGGACCCCCGCTCAGCCCGATCCCCGAGACCCCCGCCAGCCCAGACCGACCCTTGGACCACCGCTCAGCCCGATCCCGGGACCCCCGCCAGCCCAGACCGACCCCCGGGACCCCCGCCCCCGCCCAGCCCGACCCCGGGACCCCAGCTCAGCCCGATCCCCGAGACCCCCGCCAGCCCAGACCGACCCTTGGACCCCCGCTCAGCCCGATCCCGGGACCCCGCCAGCCCAGACCGACCCCCGGGACCCCCGCCCCCGCCCAGCCCGACCCCGGGACCCCCGCCAGCCCAGACCGACCCCCGGGACCCTCGCCCCCATCCAGCCCGACCCCGGGACCCCTGCTCAGCCCGATCCGGGGACCCCCGCCAGCCCAGCCCGACCCCCGGGTCCCGCCCCGCCCGGCCCTGTGCCGCCCGGGGGAGGGCGAGGGGGTGTGACCGCTCGCGCCGGACCGGTGCCAGCTGCGGCTCCGCTCCAGCGCCCGGTGCCAGCTGGCTTTCTCGCCTGGCACGGAGGCGGAGGCTGGGGGTCACGGGTGCTGGGTGGGGGGGCTTCCCCCTCCCGCCGCACTCCCAGCCCTTGCGCCCACTCGGGCGCGCACAGCGCCAGGGTACCCCTCTCGGGGTGGGGGGGGGGGTCCCCGCTGGGCCCCCTGCCCCGCCTTCTGCTAGACCCTGCAGGACGCGTGAACTTGAAGAGAGCATGAAGGTGGGTCGGGGGCCCCGGACGCCTGGCACGACTGGGCAGTTCGGGTGGGAGGAAGATGGGTGGGCGCGGGGCAGGCGGAGAGGCGAGGAGGCTGGAGGCGAGTGTCCGAGGACCGGGCGCCCAGAGGCTCGGCAGGGAAGTGCCCGGGCCCGCAGGGGCCCAGCGGCCGGCGGGGCGGGGCAGGATTCCCGAGAAGTCTGGGAAGAAGGGCCCGTGTCCTAGCGCGCTGGAGACCCCCACGCCCGCGCCCTGACCGGCAGGCCCCGGCGAGGTCTTCCTGCCCCTCCCGGTTCCTGGCAGGCTGCAGCACCTCCGCTCGCCTGCGCGCAGCCCGGAGCCGGGAGGCGCCTCTGCCCGGGGCATTTGCAGTCCGCCGCCTGCCCAGGGCCGCCGCCTGCCTCCCTTCCACACAGGTGGGCTGGCCAGGTGAGAGCCGCTGGCAGGTGGGCCCGCACCCCGAGGCCGGCCCGGTGGGAGGCCTCCCCGACGTGGACGTGGTGGTGTCCGAGGGGACGGCGCTCAGCATGGTGCTGCGGAGGATGCATCGGCCTCGAAGCTGTTCCTACCAGCTGCTGCTTGAGCCCCAGCGTCCCAGTCGCATCCAAGGGCTTCGCTGGGTGAGTGCTGGTGCCTGCGGGTGGGGGGCCCGGCGGGCCACCAGGACAGGGGGCTGAGGGGGGCTGCACTAGGCACGGCATTGTCAGTAGCCCCGCGTTTGGGGGCTACTGCGGTGGGCACAGGGGGGAGGAGCAGGATTAGCTCACGCAGCTGGATGGGGTGTATGCGTGTGTGTGTGTGTGTGTTTGTGCCTGCGCGTGTGCGCGCGCACCCGTTGGCGCAGGAGAGGAGAGAGCTCTGTCCCTTCACCATCCTGCGTGCATTGAGTTTCAGTGGCTTGGAAGGATGTCAGCGTGGGCTGGGGGACACGGCGGATATGGCCTCAGCCAGTGCTGTGGCAGGGTGCTTTCGGGAGCCTCCGCGCCGATTCTGCTTTGGAATCTTGGGGTGCCGGGGGGCGTCCCATGTGAATGCTGCTTGGTGCCTAGCTTCAGGGGTTCAGAGGAGTTGCAGAAGTTTGGTGGCTCAGGTACAAAGGAGTGGCAGGATGGTGATGGCGTGTCGGGGTAGGAGACGGTCATGGGACCGTAAGGGGCAGAGAAGTACCTCCCCCCAACCTCCAGGGTGAGTTCACCAGAGGCCCTTGTACATAGTGTGTGAGCGCGTGTGTGTGGTGGGCTGGGTGCCCGGGTGTGTGAGCGTGTGGGCATGGTGGGTGGGTGCCCGGGTCCTGGGGTGGGCAGGAACAGGGACAGGCCCTCAAGGCCACCACTTCTACCTTTGCTCTCGGCTCTCACCACCTTCCCTCTCTGCCCACATGAGTTGGGGCTGGGAAAACCGGGGCTTGTGGAGGTGGGGGGCCCTCCCCAGAGCTAGGAGCTAGATACTGGTTCTCCCTGCTCACCCCACCCCTCTCCTCCCCCTTCCCCCTTGGATCTCCTGATCAGGGGCATGCTCAAGGTGGGCTCGGACGCTGGGAGCTGGGGGGGGGGGGGGCTGTGCCTTCTGGGTTCCGCCCTCCCAGCAGGAGCTACTGCCTGGAGCCAGTGGGCTGGAAATCTCCCTCCCGCTTCCCTCCCAGACTGTAATTACTGTGTATTTATTTCCTGTCCCCTTCTCAGTTTGTAAAGTGGAGAAGGGGGAAGGTCAGGTACTAGGACAGTGAGTGAGGTCCCTGGAGAGTCCCCTGGGACCTGAACTCTGGGGGGACGAAGGGGGCCCGGAGGCCGCCAGCCTGTCTCCTGCCCATCCCTCCCCCCGCCCAATTGAAGGGCCGTGTCTGAAGAAGCCGGAAGGGGGGAGGGGGGAGGGGCGGTAGTATAATTGGGGTCAAAGGCACAGGAATAAGCCCTTCCCCACACCAGGTGGTGATGCCCCCCACCCCCAGCCCCCGCTTTGGGAATTAGAGGGAAAATGGGATTTTAGGACCAGGGCAGGGACCCTCCTGACCTGAGCGTGTCCCTGGAGAGTGGCAGGCTAGTGGCAGCCTCTGATGAAGAGGCTCTGGCTCTGGCCCACACGGCTGCCTGCTCTCTGGGCAGCGTGGCCATGGGGAGAGGCCAGCAGGCACAGGTGCAGAGGAGATGCTCTGTTGGCGCCCGAGGAAAGCAGGGCCCGGGGTCAGGCGCACGGGCCTTCGTAAGCAGGGCGGAAGTGCCGCTGGGCTGCATGAGCTCCACAGGGGCCTGAGTGCCTGTCGGGTCTGGGGCCAGCAGAGGGCAAGATCAGGGCCAGAAAGGCCTGTGGCGGGCCCGAGAGCTCAGAGAAACGCTGCGTCTTGTTGAATGCAGGTGGCTCAGTTCTTTGCCCCAGGAAGCATGCTTCCAGTCACTGTCACTGTCCTCCCGTTGTTCAACAATTTGCTCGAGCGGGCCCAGTAACATTGTGAGACTTGTTACTGTGTCTGGCATATCGAATACGTCACGGGGAGCTTGCCAGGCTTTGCCGTGCGGGCGAGATACCCTCAGTAGCTTGCCGGGCTCCCCGAGAGGGGCGGAGGAATCGAACCCGGCTTGGCCGGGCTGGCTGCGTGCAAGGCAAATGGCCTACTGCTGTGCTACCGCTCCAGCCCATGCTTCCAGTCTGCCCCAGTAATGACCAAGTCGCGGCATCCTGTAAGACAGCGTTCATAGCCTGCGTAGCCTAAGGACCGAGAACTAGACACAAATGTCAGGATTTCGTTTCTCCTAAATGAAATGAGAAAATAGAGGCACAGGGAGCCTGGGGGGCTGGTGTGGGGCAACTTGGCTGTCTAGGGATAGAGCTGGGCTTTGGTCCCAAACAAACCACCTCAGGGAAACCTGACTGTCAAGTTCAGGCAGGTACACTGACCCCACGGAGCATCCCCACCGGAGACCCTGACCAGTCTGATGGGTCCTGGGACAGCGGTCTGGCCCTGGGCGTGCCCCTCAGTGGGCTCTGACACTCGCCACCAAGCAGGCCAGATCCTGAGGCCTTCCTGTCTGTGTTTGCGAGGGGGCAGTGAGTGAGAATTTTACCTGAAGCCACCCCTTCCAGTTCTTTTTTTTTTTTCTTTTTGGGTCATGCCTGGCGTTACACAGGGGTTCCTTCTGGCTCTGCACTCAGGAATCACTCCTGGCGGTGCTCGGGGGACCCTATGGGATGCTGGGAATTGAACCTGGGGCAGCCGTGTACGAGGCAAACGCCCTCCCCGCTGTGCTATCGCTCCAGTCCTACAGTCTCTCCCTTCCAGTCGAGAACCCCTGAAGATCGTGGGGCCAAAGTACATTTCCTGTTCCTTCACAGGTGTCTGTCAGGAGGTAATGTTAAAATCTGGTCGCTTCACACAGCTACTGCGAGGTTGGCAGCAGCCAGCCCCGTTCCGAGTTCGTGGCACTGTTTACTGTTTCAGTTCCCAACGTGGCACTTGTGGGTCGGTCAGTGGCACTGCCGTGCTGTCATCCCTTTCCACAAACGAGGAAACGGAAGCTCGGGGCGCTTGATAAGCCACCAAGGTCACGCAGCAGCTGTAACGAGGCACCAGGCTTCGGAGCTGATGTCCAGTCCCGGAGCCCCTAAATCAGCCCCTTCGCCCCAGGCTTCAGAGTCTCCCGATACACACCAGCATGTGCAGGACCCGGAGGAACTAGATCCGAAACCCTGGCGAGCTGGGCTTAGCTGGCCAGTTTCCAAACTCTGCTGGGGAACTTTCCCGAAGGCAGGATCCCTCTACTCTCTGGGTTTCCGTGAAACAGCAGGTGGAAGCCGGCGGCAGAGAGCGGTCAAAGGGCCTGAGAGAGTAAGGCAAATGCCCTGCAAAGTCCAAAGTATGGACTTTGCAGTCAGACACGGAGAGTTCTGGTGCTCCTATTCACCACCCCTCAGGGCTGGTTACATAACGTCCAGCCATGAACTAGGAGACAAATACCACCCTCGGGGGTCACCCACTGCTAGGAGAGCTATTCGAGTGGGAGCTGAAATATCTCAGCGGTTGTGTGACGCCAGGGACATTACTTCTCCCTGGGCTCCCACGCTCCTTGGGTAAACATACCTTCTGGCCCCTTCGGCCGCTGGCCGGGGCCCTCAGTGGGACCGGAAAGGTCTGCAGACCTCTGATCTGGGGCATGACCCGTGCCCTGGCCCGTGCCCTGGCACCTTCCCTCAGAATAAGAACCCCGAGAGAGCCGAAGCTGGAGCCTGAGTCGTGAGCGCCAGGGCAGATGGGCCAGTGACCAGGGCAACCCGGGCATTGGGACTTGAACAATGAGGGGTCAGTCCTCAGCACTGTTTGTTCTGACACGGGCTGGCTGGGAGCATTCCTGTTCTTCCTCCCTCCCTGCTCGGCCGGCTCCTCCTCCTCATTTCCTGTGGCTAAGTCTCCAGGGCTCCGTGTCGGCACAGGGCTGGCCCCTCACCCGGGCAGGGATTCCCTAGGGACACCTCCAGGCTTCCGCCCGAGCCTGGGCCACTGCCCGGCGGGTGGGGCGTGAGGGAAGTGCAAGCCAGGGGCGTCCTGCAGCTCGGCAGGATCCTGCTCCCTTCTGCAGGGGCCCGAGTGTCGGTGGGGGATGGGGGGCGAGGGACAGACTGCTGGGGGAGGGGAGGCGGGCACGGGCAGCCCACCCAGTGGCCGCCGTGAGAGTGTGAGGCCAAGTCTGACGCAGCACTGGGCCTCAAAGCCTCTCGCCCTCCCTGCAAGCCCTGCAGACAGCCAAGGCTGCTTCTGCTCTCTGGAGTCTGGAGGAGGCCACAGGTGGCCGTGCTTTGGGGTTCTGAAGGCGCCTGCCACGGGGCGGGCCCGCGGTGGGCAGGGCACCCAGGACAGCCTGCTGAGTCCGGCCCCAGGGCGGCAGGAAGAGAAGCACTGGGAGCTGCCCCGAGGCGGCCAGGCTGGGTTGCAGGGGCGCTGCTGGTGCCCGGGGCAGGGAAGCGAGGAGGCCAGGGCTCCAGTGCCAGCCTGCGTGTCCCAGCCAGCCCTTATTCCCCTGCGTCTCCCTAGAGGAAGGTGCCTCCGGCAGAGCACCCTCCGCCTCAGATGAGTAATAAGAACCGACGTGGAGCCGCAGCCAGGCCGGGCGGTACTTGAGACATCCGGTCCCTAGTCCCTTGGCTCTTCCCGAAGTCGGCTTTTGTGTTATGAGCATGTAGAGGTTTTACAGAGAAGGAAACTGAGGCAGGCAGTGGTTTGGTCCCATAGGAAGAAGCACGCAGCCAGCAAACAGAGGAGCAGGCGTTGGAACCCAAGTATGGCTCCAAGTTTTGTATTTTTACTTTTGGGTCACAACCGGCATTGCACAGGGGTTACTCCTGGCTCATATACCTGAGTGAATTACTCCTGGCAGTGCTCAGGGGGACATATGGGATGCTGGGAATCGAACCTGGGTCGGCCGCATGCAAGGCAAATGCCCTACCCGCTGTGCTATTGCTCCAGCCCCTAAGTTTTGTATTTTTATTTATTAAGCCTGGCAAGCTCCCTGTGACGTATTCGATATGCCAAACACAGGAACAAGAAGTCTCACAATGGAGACGTTACTGATGCCTGATCGAGCAAATTAATGAACAAGGGGAGGACAGTGCTCCAGCACTACAGTGTATATATGTCTATTTATTTTTATTTGGACACTGATTGACAGCAACATTGTACTTTAGAGTTTGTAGTTTTTTCTATTATTATTATTATTTACTTTACAGCGGTAGGGTGTTTGCCTTGCATGTGGCCGACCCGGCCGAGCCGGGTTCAATTCCTCCGCCCCTCTCGGAGAGCCCGGCAAGCTACCGAGAGTATCTCGCCCCCATGACAGAGCCTGGCAAGCTTCCTGTGGCGTCTTCAATATGCCAAACATAGTAACAAGTCTCACAATGGAGAAGTTACTGGTGCCCGCTCGAGCAAATCAATGAACAACGGGAGGACAGTGCTACAGTGCTGCTATTATTATTATTATTATTATTATTATTATTATTATTATTGTTATTATGGTACTTTGGGCCATACCCAGCTGAGCTCAGGCTTTACTCCTGCCTCTGTGCTCAGGCATCACTCCTGGTGGGCTGGGGGGATCAGGGGCATCCAAGGGGAAATCTTCCTTGCTGTGCTATTATTCTGGCCCCAACAGTCTGTGTTTTTAGAGACCTCTGTGGATGTCCTCAGGGGCAGGAGGTTTGCTGGGGGGTCCTGTTGTTGGCCAAGGGCCCTGGCTGGGATCAGGCTGGTGACCCTGCTGGAGAGCAGATGCTCCAGCCTTCCTCCCAGTTGCTCACGGTTTCTCCTGCCCTTACAGCCCACACTCTGCTCCCTGCCCCTTGCACCTCCCACGGCACAGAGCAGAGCTCTGGGCTTCTCCTCCGTGTAGCTGCGCTGCTTGGGTGTGGCAGAGAACGGGCCAGTGGGTGGCAGAGGGGTGTGGGGTCGGGGAGGCAGAGGGGCCACAGTATTGGGGCCACACAGTATCTGTTGACTGTTCCGTGAGTGTTTTTTTTTTTTAATTTTTATTAGTGAAACACCACAAGGCACAGTTGCAGTCTTACAAATTTTGGTGCTTGGGCTTCAGTTATACAATGATCGAGTACCCATCCGTCCACCAGTGCTCATTCTCCACCACCACTCTCTCCACCGATCCCAGTATCACTCCCACCCCCATCCCCCCATCCCACCCTGCCTCTGTGGCAGGGCATTCCCTTTTGTTCTCTCTCTCTTATTGGGTGTTGTGGTTTGCAAAAGAGGCAATGGGTGACAAACATGTTTGGTCTATAGTCTACTTTCAGCATGCTTCTCCCATCCTGGGAGGATCCTCCCAACACCCTTTACTTGGTGCTCCTTTCTCTATCTGAGCTGCCTTTTCCCCTAGCACGTGTGGCTGGCCTCCAAGCCATGGAGCAAAACTCCTGGTACTAATCTCAGCCACTCTTGGGTGTTAGTCTCCTACTTTCTTACTTTATGTTCCCTAGATGAATGCCATCTATATGTCTGTCCCTCTCTTTCTGACTCATTTCGCTTAGCTTGATCCAGTGAGTATCTTAACGGAAGCCCTCGGAGTCCCAGGCAGGGCAGGGGCGTCCCTCGGGGCAGGGCACAGCAGAGCTGGCATGGAAGGCCTGCAGGGCTCCCAGCTAACAGCAGACCCTCCCTCCTGCCCGCAGACTCCCCTTACTGACAGCGAGGAGTCCCTGGATTTCAGCGGAAGCCTGCAGCAGGTACCAGCCTGGCAGGGGGTGCCGGGAGCAACCTGCACAGCTGGGCTGCTGGTGGTGGAGGCTATAGGGGAGGCGGGGTCTGAGCCCCTGGGCTGCTGTCCACCAGGTGTGCCCGGAGCGGGTGCTCAGAGCCGGGAAGCAGCTGCATCGGCATCTCCTGGCCACCTGCCCCAACCTCATCCGCGACAGGAAGCACCACCTGAGGCTGTACCGGTGAGCGGGCACCTGCCTCCACCTCCTCCCGCGTCGGTACCCACAGAGCTGGGTGGGCCCAGGCCTGCACCTCCCCCCCACCTCCATCGCTTGACTCTCTGTCCGCTTTTGCTTCCGGTCCCCTAGGCAGTGCTGCTCCGGCCGGGAGCTGGTGGAGGGGCTCTTGGCCCTTGGGTTTGGGGTCCACTCCCGGAGCCAAGCTGTGGGAATCTGCCAGGTGCTGTTGGATGAGGGTGCCCTCTGCCACGGTAAGGCCAGCCCCCCGGGGGGGTGTGCAGGCTAGATGACCTGGGGGTGGGCATGACCCGGGGGGCCCCATGCCCACTTGACTCGACTTCGCCTTCTTTCCCCATGGGCCTCTGCCCGCAGTGAAACACGACTGGACCTTCCAGGACCGAGACACCCAGTTCTACCGCTTCCGGGGGCCCGAGCCGGAGCTCGTGGGGCCTCGGGAGCTGGAGGAGGAGCTGGTGGAGGCGGTGGCTCTGCTCTCCCAGCGGGGGCCCGACGCCCTGCTCACCGTGGCGCTCCGGAAGCCGTGAGTCTGGAACCCTGCCCGCGGGCCCCCGAGTGCCTCCCCGAGGAGGAGCGTGTTTGCAGGGAGCCCTCACCTGTGGGGGCTGTGGGCTGCGTCAGCCCCAGACTCCCTGAGGGACCTTGGGCCTCCTTGTTGTTCCCCCGGGTCTGAACCCGGGTCTCCTCTTCCTGGGCAGAAGATGGGGTTCAGGGGGCTGGAGCCATAGCACAGCGGGTAGGGCATTTGCCTTGCACGCGGCCGACCCAGGTTCGAATCCCAGCATCCCATATGATCCCCTGAGCACCGCCAGGGGTAATTCCTGAGTGCAGAACCAGGAGCAACCCCTGTGCATTGCCGGGTATGACCCAAAAAGCAGAAAGAAAAAAAAACAAAAACAAATGATGGGGTTCAGGGCCCCCAAAGCCCTGAACATCCTGAGGTGCACCCAAGAGAGGGTGGGAACATGTGTGCTGGGTGACTGGGGGTCTTTTCCCTGGCTGGGCCTCTTCCTCAGTCACTTGAGGACTGTATCTCTGCCCCTGGTACAGGCTGACCTGCGGGTACCAGGACGGTTCGGGGCGGGGGTTGAGGGGTGCTGAGACCCGGCTCTGACCAGAGCTGTCTGTGGCCGTGTGCCGGGCCGGCCCAGTGCACACAGCAGCTGCCTGTGCCCGGCTCTGGGCTCACGTGCTCCCTGCCCTCCTTGTCCCAGCCCAGGGCAGCGCACGGACGAGGAGCTGGACCTGATCTTCGAGGAGCTGCTACACATCAAGGCTGTGGCCCACCTCTCCAACTCGGTCAGTCGGGCCCCCCTCCCTCTGACCCCAGTGTCCGAGGCTGTGCCCACCTCTCCAACTCGGTCAAGCCACCTGGGTCCGCTCCCGGGCCCCCTTCCCTCTGATCCCAAAGTCCATCCTGGCTGGAAGACAGATTCCCAGCACCCAACCCCTCAGGAGCCTGCTGCCAGCGTCCTGCCCACCACACTCGTGTCTGCCTCTCCCGGCTCTTGCCTCCCCATGTGCCCTCCTATGCCCTGAGCTAGCCATGATGCCTCTGTGTCCTGGGCCTGTGTCCTGCCGTCTCTGTGCCCTGGGCCCTCTCCGCATCCTGTCCTGGGTTCCCCGGTCACCAGCCTCTCCCCCCACCACAGGTAAAGCGGGAATTAGCTGCAGTTCTGCTCTTTGAACCACACAGCAAGGCAGGGACCGTGTGTAAGTCCCCTGGGGGACGGGCAGCCGGGGGAGGAGGCAGCTGGGACAGAGGCCATAGAGAAAGGGGTGTCCTCCGCGAGGGGTGACGCCTGTGCCCCTCACAGTGTTCAGCCAGGGCGACAAGGGCACCTCGTGGTACATCATCTGGAAGGGATCTGTCAATGTGGTCACCCACGGCAAGGTGAGCCAGCTCCCGCCCACCCTTGGGGGTGCCGCTCCCCTGGGTAGTGTTGGGGGGCACCCAAGTTGGGCTGTGACTGAGGCCTGACCGCAGGGGCTGGTGACCACGCTGCACGAGGGGGAGGACTTCGGACAGCTGGCACTGGTGAACGACGCGCCCCGGGCAGCCACCATCATCCTGCGGGAAGACAACTGTCACTTTCTGCGCGTGGACAAGCAGGACTTCGACCGCATCATCAAGGTGCTGTGGCTGGGAGTACGGAGCCCAGGGACACGGTGGGGTGCTAGGCGCAGAACCAGGGTGGGAGATGGGGGGCCAGGGAGGGACAGGTGCGTCTCGTGCTGCCGTGTGAGGGGCTGCATGGCTGCGAGCTGTGGCGGGTGGGGGAGAGGCAGCGCCACGGAGGGGGCCCACGCAGGAGGTGACAGAAGGCTTGGCTAAGTGTGTGTGGGGCAGGAGAGCAGGAGACCCAGGTTGAGAGTGAAGAGGGGGTGCGGAGGCTTAGGGTCCGGTGGGAAGCCTGTGGGTGCCTGCGGGTGTCTGGTGTGGACCCGAGGGCGTGGAGTGTGTGTGTGTGTGTGTGTGTGTGTGTGTGTGTGCGCACCTGTGAGTATGTGCACTGTACAAGTGTGTGCACATGTGTGCATTTGTTTGTGTGTATGTGTGTGCATGTTTGTGCATCTGTGTGAGCATATCAGCACACACCTGTGTGAGTGGGCGTACGTGTATGAGTCTGTGTGCATGTGCAACTGCATGCATGTGTATGCATGTGTGTGCACCTGTGTATGTGTGTCCTTATGGGCACCTGTGTGCACGTGTGTGTATGTCTGTGAACACAGAAGCGTGTGCACAGAGGCGTGTGAAGCTCATGTTTGTGTGTTCGTGTGTGGACGGGTGCATGCGTGCTTATGCATGTGCGTGTGCTGAGCTCTGGCTGTGGCGGTTCTCCAGGACGTGGAAGCCAAGACCATGAGGCTGGAGGAGCACGGCAAGGTGGTGCTGGTGCTGGAGAAGGCGTCTCAGGGCCCCGCGTCTTCTTGCCCCCCAACTCCAGGCAGGACCCGGTACCAGCCCGCACCTCCGCCTGCCTCCCCCTCCGCCACCCTCCTCCTGCCCATCCCGCTCCTGTCTGCTGACTTGCTGGCGGCAGGAGGGACGTCCTCGGGCTGAGCTGCCCCCCCCCCCCCAGCCAGCCTCGCCCGCCCCAGAGCAGGGCTGGCACTCGGGGAAGGGTCGTGTGGTCGAGGCTTCTGGCTTTCCCGGCTGTGGGGGCGGGGCATGCTGAGTCACGGACCAGTGGCCGCTTCTGCTAGGTACACGGTGATGTCCGGCACCCCGGAGAAGATCCTGGAACTGCTGTTGGAGGCCATGAGGCCCGATTCCAACGCTCATGACCCAACAGGTAGGGGCGGGAGACGCCTCGCTGCCCTTGGACTCTCCGCCAAGGCCAGGCCCCGGGGCTGGCCTGCGTGCTGGTCTGGGCGGCAGCAGCGGGCAGTGCCGGACACTGGCCCGTGGTGGGGTTGGAGGAAGGCAGGCCCTGGGGGCGCGGGTAGCTGACCTCTGACCCCACCCCGCTCCCACCCCGGGCAGAGACGTTCCTCAGCGACTTCCTCCTGACCCACAGCGTCTTCATGCCCAGCGCCCAGCTCTGCCCTGCCCTCCTGCACCAATATCCTCCCGTCCCGGATGGGCAACGCCGGGTGGGGGTGGGGAGCCCTTGGCCCGGCCCGGCCCGGCCTGGCCGCCCCGCCGCGGTCCTCGCTCGCCAGCCGGCGGCCCGAGCGTGGCGGTGGGGGGCAGGGTGGACCCGCCTGTGGTTCCCTTGACTGGTGGCCACTTTCCACGCGGAGCCGGCGGGCGGCAGCGAGCAGGAGCGCGGCGCCTACATCTGCAACAAGAGGCAGCAGATCCTGCGGCTGGTCAGCCGCTGGGCAGCGCTGTACGGCCCCATGCTGCACGCGGACGCCGTGGCCAGCGGCTTCCTGCAGGTACTGCGGGTGGGGCGGGGTGGACGGGGCCGGGCGGGCGGGGCCGTCGGGTGCGCAGGGCCGCCCCGCCACCATGTCCGTGAATCTTGGCTCCGCCCAGAAACTCTCGGAGCTGGTGAGCAGGGACGCCCGGCTCAGCCACCTGCTGCAGGAGCCGCTGTGGCCGGACCGGCGCCGCCACCACAGGTGTGCGGGAGGGCGGGGCGGGGCGGGGCCGGGCCGGGGCGGGGCCGAGGCTGGGCGGGGGCGGGGCTGAGGGCGGGGCGGGGCCGAGGCGGGGCGGGGCCGTGTCGGGAGGGAAGGGGTGGGGCCGGGGGCGGGGCCGAGGATAGGCGGGGGCGGGGCTGTGGGCGGGTGGGAAGGGGCGTGGCCGGGGGCGGGGTGGGGCCATGGGCTGTGGGTGGGGGCAGAGGCTAGGCGGGGGCGGGGCCGAGGATAGGCGAGGGCGGGGCTGTGGGCGGGTGGGAAGGGGCGGGGCCGCAGGCGGGGGCGGGGCAGCGGAGGCGGGGCGGGGCCGAGGGCAGGCATGGGCGGGGCCGCAGGCGGGGTGGGGCCGAGAGCAAGCGGGGTGGGCCACGGGGCGGGGCCGGGGGCGGGATGGGGCGGGGCCATGTGCAGGTGGGTGAGGGTGGGGCGGGGCCGTGGGCGGGCGAGACAGGGCCCGGGGCGGGGCCGTTGGCAGGGCGGGCCTGTGTCCCCTTGGGGGCAGCTTGGGTCAGAGGGGGGGGGCCTGGCCTGGGACCCCTGGGGTTCAGTCCCATGTTGTCCCCATGTTTCCCCCGGGAGTGATCCCTGAGCGCAGACCAGGAGCAAGTCCTGAGCACAGCCAAGAGTGGCCCAGGAATTTTAAGAGATTAATAATTAGTTTTCTGTCTGAAGTGGGAGAAGCTGCCTGAGAACAGGCCGGCCTCGCTTCCCTCTCCTTGCCCCTTGCCCGTCCTCCGTGGGCATGCATTGGGCACGGGCTGCCGGATGCATTCTGAGGCCCCGGTGCACCTGCTCGTCCCACTTTCTCCCACGCTCACTTCTTTACTGAGCCGGTTTCTGGGCCCCCACCCAGAAGGGGTCCTCAAAGTGACCCTGGTCTTCCCAGACCTCCGCGGGGGACAGCCGCGGCTCGGCGAGGGCCCCCTGGGCCTGCCCCCTTGAGCCCTGCAGCTCTCAGTAGTCTCCCTCCCTGCTGGTTTTGGAACGTCCAGAATCCAAGTCCTGGTTTCCAGGGCCAGGTCTGGGTCCTCACTCAGATGATAGTCACCCTGTCTCCCAAACTCACTGTGCCCCGTGATGTCCTCCCGCTGGACCCCACCTCCCTAACTTCACCCCCCGCCTCCCTTGCTCCACAGGTTGGAGAATGGTTGTGGGAACGCATCTCCTCAAGTGAAGGTGTGTGTTCAGACCCTCGATCCTGCCTGGGCTTCTTGCAGTGCCTCCTTCAGCCCTCCCCGGGGGCTCTGTGCTGGAGCCCTGTCCCCAGACACACAGAGCCTGGGACAGGTGCACACCCACCCACCCCCAGACGCACACAACCTGGGACAGGTGCACACCCAGGGAGAAGCAGGCTCGGACCCCAGCCCCCAGCGTTGCCCAGGCCAAGTCTGCTAACCTCTCCGAGCCTCAGCGGGTGGTGGCAGTCGCTCTGCCAGAGCTGCTGTGAATGCACGAGCCCTCTCCCCGGGGCCCCAGAAGCGCATTCCCTGGGCTCAGGTGTGGGTCCCCACCCCACTTCACTTTCCCTCCTCCTCAGGCCCGGAACATGCCCGTTTGGCTTCCCAGCCAGGACGAGCGGGTCCCCAGCAGTAACTGTGCCATCCGAGTTGGGGACAAAGGTTGGTGGTTGACCCCCTGGAACCTGGTCAGGGACAGGCTGCAGCCCCGTGGGAGATGGGTCGGGGGAGACCGGCTGCATCCCCCGGGGAGGGGGTCTCCGTGTCAGCTCCCCCTGCATTCTGTGCCCGCCCTTTCTGCCGCCGTGGTCACTCCCTCTGCTGCATCGCTGCCCCTCCCCGGGACCCCTCCCTAGCAGCCTCTCACCATCCCCACAGTCTCTTATGACATCTGCCGGCGGGACCACTCGGTGCTGAGCCTGCAGCTGCCGGTAACGGCCTCTGTGAGGGAGGTGATGGCTGCCCTGGCCCAGCGGGACGGCTGGACCAAGGGGCAGGTGCTGGTGAAGGTCAACTCGGCAGGGGGTAAGTCGTCTGCAGTTTCCGGGGGGGGGGGGCACACGCTCTGATCGGTGCCGGGGATCTTTCCCCCGTTAAGACCTTCTTCGTCAATGTGGATGAAGGTTCGCCATGCTGGGAGGTTTATTTATCACATATTTATTTTTGGTTGGGGGGGCACACCTGGTGATGCTCAGGGATTACTCCTAGAGAGCTTGGGGGAGCACATGGGGTGCCAGGGATCGCACCCGGGTGATCTGCGTGCAAGGCCAGCGCCCTCCCCACTGCCCTATGGTCCCTGCATGGTGGGTCTCATGGAGGCGTTGGCAGGTGGTCTGGAAGAGCTCGAGCTCCCGCCAGCACAGTTGGGGTGCCCGGGGTAGGGGCTAGCCTCTGTTCTGTCCTTGAAGAGTGCAGAGGTCGTCGGCTTTGGAGAGGAATTGTGCGGGTTAGGCGAGAGCGAATCTACCGAAACCACTCCGAGTAGTGAGCGGGGAGAGAGCTCGATTGGCTGGCACAGTTTTGCATGCGGGAGCCCTGGGTTCGAGCCTCTGCACCACACGCTCCTTTGAGCACCACCAGGAGTTGCCCCTGAGCACAGAGCGGGAGATAACCCCTGAGCACTACCAGAGGTGGCCCCCAAATTAAGGTGTTTAGTTCGGCACATGGTCAGCATGACAGTAGATACTGTTGTCATTGTTATTTGTGGTGCCAGTGCTCAACCACTGAGCCACACCATACAGCTACTATTTCCACTGGGCATGGAGACTCACGACAAACACTGTCAGTGTCCTCCCGTTGTCTGTCAATTTGCTTGAGTGGGCCCAGTAACGTCTCCATTGTGAGACTTCTTGCTGCTGTGTTTGGCATATTGAATACTCTCAGTAGCTTGCCAGGCTTTGCCATGCAGGCGGGATACTCTCGGTAGCTTGCCGGACTCCCAGAGAGGGGCGGAGGAATCGAACCCGGCTCGGCTCGGCTGGCTGCGCGCAAGGCAAACGCCCTACTGCTGTGCTATCGCTCCAGCCCATGTATACTCATTTAATTTTAATAAAACTCTGAAGCATGAATGTTTATTTTGCTTTCAGAAAAGGAAACTGAAGGTTAAGAGGGATTAAATGACCTTTAAGTGGAGGTTCATGTTGCCAGGCAACATTTCTGAGGATCGTATGTGGGCCAGCACTCTGTTGCTCGAGACAGGTCCTAGCAGGGAAAGAGCAGCTGGCTGACGGGGAGGAGCGTTTGTTGGGCACCCAGACCCACCCACTCACCCCTTCCGAGATGGCTGATGCTGCGTGGCTTGGAGCCTCCGTTTCCTCTTAGGTCTTTGGAAGATGAAAACCACTACTGGAGCTGGAGAGATAGCACAGCGGGGAGGGCGCTTGCCTTGCACCTAGGCAACTCGGGTTCGATCCCCGGCATCCCATAGGGTCCCCCAAGCGCCGCCAGGAGTAATTCCTGAGTGCAGAGCCAGGAGGAACCCCTGAGCATTGCCAGGTGTGACTCCGAAACAAACACCAACAAAAAAAAGATACCACTACCGTCTGCCCATGAAGACTGTCGTCAAGGTCTGACATAGACAAGAATTATGGGCACCCGTAATCAAGCCCAGAAAATGGGGCGAGGATGAGGTCACCTGTGTCTGGCGCGGCTCTGCAAAGCCCTGCCCTCTGGTGGTTACCTGGAGAATTGCAGTCGCCCCCAGTAGTGGCCAAAATCTTGATTGTGGTTTCTTGATTGTGTGTCCAGCGCATAGAATACTGATCTCCAGTCTTTTCACTCACATCGAACTAGTCTGATTACTAGACCAGACATTTTTTAAATTTTTATTTTATTTTTTTCTTGAATCACTGTGAGACACAGTTACAACGCTTTCATGTTTGAGTTTCAGTCATACAATGATCGAACACCCATCCCTCTACCAGTGTACATTTTCCACCACCAATGGCCCCAGAATTCCTCCGACCCCCCCTCCTTCCTCTGTAGCAGGCACGTTCCTTCTTACTCTCTCTCTACTTTTGGACATTATGGTTTGCAATACGGATACTAAGAGGCCGTCATGTTTGGTCCTTTTTTCTACTTTCAGCACACATCTCCCATCCTGAGCGATCCCTCCAACCATCATTGACTTAGTGATCCCTTCTCTATCCCAGCTTCTTCTCCTCGAGCTCATGAGACAGGCTTCCAACTGCAGGGCAATCCTCCTGGCCCTTGTCTCTACTGTCCATGGGTGTTAGTCTCATATTATGATATTTTATACTCCACAAATGAGTGCAGTCCTTCTATGTCTGTCCCTCTCTTTCTGACTGATTTCACTAAGCATGATAATCTCCATGTTGATTCACTTATATGCAAGTTTCATGACTTCATCTTTCCTAACAGCTGCATAGTATTCCATTGTATAGATGTACCAGTTTCTTTAGCCAGTCTAGACCAGACTTTATTATTTCCTACTTTGTGTATGTGTGTTTATAAGCCTTTGCCATCCTCTGCTACTAATGTCACTGTACTGAACACTGAACACTGTCCTCCCGTTGTTCATCGGTTTTCTCGAGCGGGCCCAGTAACGTCTCCATCATGAGACTTCTTGTTACTGTGTTTGGCATATCGAATACATCACAGGGAGCTTGCCAGGCTCTGCCGTGCGGGCGAGATCCTCTCGGCAGCTTGCCGGGCTCTCCGAGAGGGGCGGAGGAATCGAACTCGGGTCGGCCATGTTGGCTGCGTGCAAGGCAGACGCCCTACCGCTGTGCTATCGCTCCTTTTCTTTGCATGCGACCACACCCTGGCAACACATCTGGTCCCCTGAGCACTACCAGGAGCCAGCCCAGACAGAGCACAGAGCCAGAGGAAAAGCCTGAGCATCCTCTGGTGTGGTACCAAAGTTCAAAAAGAATAAAATGAAATAATTAAAACCTAACTAAGACCGATGAGAAAAAGACTGAGTCAAAACACTTGTTAGGTCCTCCTGGCAAGGAAACATAGTCTTGGCATGATCGTGTGGCCTTTGGAGGTGGCAACAGATTTCCTGTCCACGTGGACGTGATGAGAACCAGCACCCAGACGTGTGGCAGGCACGTCCCGATTGCTGGGGAGGCCCTGGCTCTGCCCGCATGCCTGTGGACACTGTCCCCATCAGCTCTTCTGCTCCCGTGGGAGTCCTCGGGCGGGTCTCACTGTGTGCATTTGACAAGGGAGCACTGAAGCTCGGGGAGTCGCGGTGTCGCCCAAGAGCAGCCGGTGTCCCCAGGAATCCCGCTCACCTGCCTTGGGGTGCAGCGGCGGTGGAGTGTGGGCACGGGCACCTGTCAGGACGCCAGCCCCGCCTCGCTCCCACACAGCCTGCGCTCCCCTTGCAGATGCCATTGGCCTGCAGTTGGACGCCCGCGGTGTGGCCACCTCCCTGGGTCTCAACGAGCGGCTCTTCGTTGTCGATCCCCAGGACATGCATGAACTGGTAGGGGCAGGCACGGGTGCCAGGGTGCAGGGTGGAGCTGTGCTTGGGGGTGTGGGGGCAGGTCTCACGGAGATGGGGGTGGCTCTGCTTGCAGAATGGAAGTGGGGGGTGGTGTCGAGCGAAAGCACAGTGGGGAGGGCATTTGCCTTGCACGTGGCCGACCCGGGTTCGATCCCCAGCATCCCATAGGGTCCCCCGAGCCCCGCCAGGAGTGATTCCTGAGTGCAGGGGCAAGAGGAACCCCTGAGCATCGCCGGGTGTGGCCCAAAAAGCAAAAACCAAAAACAAGAATGGAAGTGGGGAGAGGAAGGAGCTGGCCTGAGCTAAGGGGGCTTCAGACGTAGGGGCTGGTTGGGAGGCCTCAAGGACGGAGACTCAGGAGCCTGCACCCCACACAGAGGAGGCCCCGTCCTGGGACTGTCATGAGGACACTCCTTGGCGGCTGTTCTCCCAGCCCCCGCCCCATCTCTGGGCACGGTCTTTGCCTCAGACTTCTTCCTGCCTTCCGACCCTGCTCCTGGGGACCCTCAGACACCCCGAGTTTTGTCCCCCCGTAGACCCCACACCCCGAGCAGCTGGGGCCCACCGTGGGCTCGGCCGAAGGGCTGGACCTGGTGAGCGCCAAGGACCTGGCGGGTCAGCTGACAGAACACGACTGGAGCCTCTTCAACAGCATCCACCAGGTGCGTGGGGGAGCGGGAGGGGCCCTGCAGACCACCCGTCCCCGGCTGACCTCAGGCCCCCCCGCCTGCCCAGGTGGAGCTGATCCACTATGTGCTGGGCCCCCAGCACCTGCGGGACGTCACCACGGCCAACCTGGAGCGCTTCCTGCGCCGCTTCAACGAGCTGCAGTACTGGGTGGCCACGGAACTGTGTCTCTGCCCGGTGCCCGGCCCCAGGGCCCAGCTGCTCAGGAAGTTCATCAAACTGGCGGCGCAGTGAGTGCCTGGGCGGAGAGAGGCCTGTTCCCTCCCCGGGCCCTGGCTTTCCCCGGAGGCCCCTGGGTCTCTCTGCCCCCCCCACCCTTCCCCGCTGCCGGCCTCTCCTCTGCTCTCCTCGGCTGGTTTGTCCTGAGAACCTCTGGGTGTCTTGCAGTCTCAAGGAGCAGAAAAATCTCAACTCCTTCTTTGCTGTCATGTTCGGTCTCAGCAACTCTGCCATCAGCCGCCTGGCCCACACCTGGGAGGTAGGCGGGGCTTTGGGAGCACCTGGGTCCTGGGGAGTCCTGGTTGGCCCTGGGGCTCGTCCCAGAGCAGCGACCAGCTCCATCTGCCTCCCCTCAGCGGCTGCCCCACAAAGTCCGGAAGCTCTACTCGGCCCTTGAGAGGCTGCTGGTGAGTTCTAGCTGTTGGCGTCCCCCTCTGGACACCCCCAGGGTTTCCTTCTTGGCGTCCCAGCGAGCCCCCTACCTGCTCTCCGTCACTTCCAGGCTTCCGTCAGGCTGAGCTTGATTTTCTCCTCTGCCTGTGAGTCCAGGGAGATGACTGAGAGGTGGACAAGTAGCGTTACGGAGGGGTGTGGAGCGTCTTGGAGTGTGTGTGTGTGTGTGTGTGTGTGTGTGTGTGTGTGTGTGGTGGAAGGGGCCTCACTGTGCTGTGAGGTTCCGTGAGAGACCAGGACAGGCACATTTGGGGTCTGTGGTGTCCTACATCCTGCCTCTTGTCGGGGAGAGGGCCTGGCCTCCAGGTGACGTGCCTTGGACTCAGGAAACTCCAGAGCGTGCAGATGAAAGACAGAATGAAAGAAATGTGCGTCTGGGGGTCCAAAGCCATAATAGAACAGCAGGTAGGGCGGTTGTCTTGCACACGGCCAACCTGGGTTCTGTCCTCCACACCTATAGGGTCCTCCGATCCCTGAGCACGGAGCCAGGAGGAAGCAACCCTTGCGGTGTGGCATCTCCCAAATTTTTTTTTCTTTTTGGGTCACACCCGGCAATGCTCAGGGGTTACTCCTGACTCTGCACCCAGGAATCGCCCCTGGCGGTGCTCGGGGGACCATATGGGATGCTGGGAATTGAACCCAGGTCGGCCGCGTGCAAGGTAAATGCCCTACCTGCTGTGCTATCCTCCAGCCCCAAAATATTTTTTAAAAGAATTGTGCATCTGGGGGCTGGAGCAATAGCACAGCGGGTAGGGTGTTTGCCTTGCATGCGGCCGACCCGGGTTCGATTCCCAGCTTCCCATATGGTCCCCCGAGCACCGTCAGGAGTGATTCCTGAGTGCAGAGTCAGGAGTAACCCCTGTGCATCGCCGGGTGTGACCCAAAAAGAAAAAAAGAATTGTGCCTCTGAAACTTCCATTTCTAAGGGGTTGGCAGGAAATGTGAATTGGGAGGTTCAGGAGGGAACTGACACAGAGGTGCCCATATTAGTAGGCTTCTGGGAGCTCTTGAGGAAAATAGTTTGCCTCATCGAGTCAAGAAGTTCAGAGGAATTTGGGAGAGAGAGGTGGATGGAGGGAGAGAAGAGATGGAGTTTTCCATGAAACATCTGGTTCTGGTGACTAATGACTGGCTCATTTCCTGGGGTTTAATCCAGACCAGGAACCTGCACCTGTCAGAATAGCCACTGCAGAGGCCAGAGTGATAGTTCAGTGGGGAGGGCACTTGCCTTCACACGGCCGGCCCGGGTTCGATCCCCGGCATGCCATATGCAGAGCCAGGAGTAACCCTGGAGCATCGCCGGGTGTGACCCAAAAAGTAAAAAGTAAAAAAAGAATGAAGAGTTGCAGTTGCAGGACCCCTCTTCCCGCACCCCACCTGCCACGGGGCCTGCATGAGATCCAGGCTGAGAAGCTGAGCCCTGCTGGCAGGGGGGCCGTGGGGTGTCTCCCTCTCACCACGGGTGGCTTCTCGCTTCTCAGGACCCTTCGTGGAACCACCGGGTGTATCGGCTGGCGCTCACCAAGCTCTCGCCCCCCATCATCCCCTTCATGCCCCTCCTTCTCAAAGGTAACACCCCTTCCGTCTCCATTCAAGTCCCTGGGCCCGTGTCTGCCGTGTGGGTGGCCCAGAGCAGAGTCAGACCCCGCACTCAGATGGTGGCACGCCGTGGCCTGGGACAGGCGGAGGAGAGACACCAGGAAACTGTCCCGGGAGCCTGAGGGGCTCAGAGGAAGGGGGGGGGCTGGACTGCAGGGAGGGGCGCCGTCGGGTCCTCTGAGCAAGGTCTGTTTCTCTGCAGACATGACCTTCATCCACGAGGGGAACCACACCCTGGTGGAGAATCTCATCAACTTTGAGAAGATGGTGCGTCCTCGGCTGCGGGCCAGGCTGGCTGGCCGTGGGCGGGGGCGGGGAGGGGCTTCTCTAGAGAGGGAGCTCCAGGTCTGGGGCGTGCGCGGAGGATGCGGGAGGATGCAGGAGGCAACGCACGTCTCTCGAGCGCGACCAGCAGCGGCTCCCCAGTCCCTGGAGATGGCCCCAGGCCGGATAGTAATAATAATAATAATAATAATAACAACAACAGCAGCAGCAGCAGTCATGGCCAAGCTAGAAACAGGAGCTGGCCCCAGCTGTTGGCAGACAAGGCTGGGGCTCTTGGGGGATCGGGGTCCCGGCCTCAAGCATCTCCCCACCTCTGCGGCCCTGGCTGTACCCGGGCAACAGGCGGCCGGGCTCCGGTGTCTGGGGAGAAGCCGACACCGACTGTGCCCTAGTGCCCAGCAGTGCCCCCTGGGAGGGGCCCCGTGTTCCCGCCCCTCCCGCGGCCCGCTCACACCCACCCCTGTGCTGCCCGCAGAGAATGATGGCCAGGGCCGTGCGGATGCTGCACCACTGTCGGAGCCACGGCAACGGTGAGTGAGCGCCGCGAGTGCCTCGTCCTCCAGCTGGGCCGCGGGCCGGTGTGCTCCCTCGCGGCCGGCCTGACTCCCGCCTCTCCTTGCAGCGCCCCTCTCGCCGCTCAGAAGCCGCGTCTCCCACCTGCACGAGGACAACCAGGCGGCGAGGATCTCCACATGTGAGTGTGTGTGTGTGTATGTGCGCGCGCATGTATGTGTATGCGCATGTGTGCATGTGTGTATGTGTGTATGCCGGTGTGCATGTTTATATACACACGTGTGCACATGCGTACGTGTGCGCATGTGTACATGCGTGTACGTGCGTATGCATATGTGCGCACGCACATGTGTATACATGTGTGTGCACGTGTTTATGTGTGCACGTGTACATGTGTGTACGGGCATGTGTGTGTGCATGTGTGTATATGTGTATGTGTGTATGCACATGTGCATGTGTATATACACGTGTGTGCACGTGTGTATGTGTGCACGCATGTGTGTACGTGTGTACGCGCATGTGTGTGCGTGCATGTGTGTATGTGTATTTGCATGTATATGTGTGTGTATGCGCGTGTGTGTATGTTTGGGGGTGCCACAGCAGGTAGAACGTCTCCCTAACCGGAAGAGGCATAGGCAGGCGTGAGCTCTGAAGCGATTTGCAGGAGGCGTCACGTGGTGGGGCTGGAACCCACTGGGCCTCGTCTGGGCATTCGTTTTTTAGACTGGCCCTTGGCCGCCCGTCATGGAACCAAGCACACCCCGTGGTCCATGGACTCACAGGCCATGCTGCCAGCACTGGCCCTTAGTCCTACGGGCTGTAGACCCCCGAGTGTGAGGACACTGACCATGACTGACATCTCCCTATCTGGCTCCCTCTCGGCTGCCCCCACCGGAGTAACTACTGACCTGAGTGCTGGCTTACTCAGTTTCTTGTTGTTTTGGTTCCTTTTTTTTTTTCCCCAGATAAGTTCTATCACACCCAAGATGAAATAGTCGTGTGCACTCGAACACACACACACACACACACACACAAACACACACCCCTTCTGGCTGTCTCATATAAAATGCAGCCTACAATGAAGTTTTCTCTCGTTTTGGTTACCTTTAAACTCAGCCAAAGCGGAATCATGCTGTTAATCACCTAGGGCTCTCCTTTCTTCAGCCTGCGATCCTAATCACGCATGACTCCACCCCCTACCAGCTCAGGGTGGGGGTGGATGGAGGGCAGGAAGGTCCCCTCCCTCCTTCCAGGGAGAAGGAATGTGGTTTGCAAAGTGCGCCCGCCCGTCTGTGCCCCACCTGACCACTCTCTCCTCGGCCCTGCCCCGCCCCCTCCAGGCTCGGAGCAATCCCTGGGCACCAGGAGTCCGGCCAGCACCTGGGCGTATGTCCAGCAGCTGAAGGTCATCGACAACCAGCGGGAACTGTCCCGCCTCTCCCGGGAGCTGGAACCTTGAGGAAGCAGGCCCTTCCCGCCGGGAAAACCAGGGTGCGCCCGGGCCCAGGGCCCAGGCCGGCCGCAGCTGGGCAGGGCTCCGCAGCGTGGACGCAGGCCCTGGGGCGGGCCGAGCGGAGGCAGGGGTCCCCGTGACGACTGGCAGAGAAGGAAGACCTCGGAGTGGACGGAGCCGGGCCCACGGCCACGGAACGGGGACAGCGAGGCTGTGGGAGGGGGCGTGGGGCAGGCACTCGGCAATAGAGAAGCTCCCACAGCGGGTTCTGAACTCTGCCTTGGTTTGTCTCCAGAGGCCTGCGAGAGGGTCGGCGTGTGTGTGTGTGTGTGTGTGTGTGTGTGTGTGTGTGTGTGTGTGTGTCGAGGACGGAGGGGCGGTTGGGAGGAGGGCTTTTTTTCCAGAACATGAGGCAAACAGCTGGGTGGTCCCCGTGGGTGACAGAGCGGTGCAGAATGGTGTCGAGGCCCTCCGTGGCGTGGGACAGGAGCCGAGGGGGAGGGTTCTCCCCCCTCCGATGTCCCCCCCCCACGCAGCGTCCGAGGCCCAGGCAGACTCCTGGCCCCTGCTGCTGGGACCCCAGTCGGTGGCTGGCGGGCCTGGCCTGCTCCTCGCCGAGATCTGAGAGGTGGTCACAGCCTGCGTGCACCCAGCAGCTCTCCTTGATGTCGGAGGGCCCCACGGGGGTGACTTATGTGACACGGGGAGGAGAAAGACGGTCACTTTCTCCCCAACTGCCTCTGTCACCCGGGACCCAGGGTTACTGGGTCCTTGTCTCGCCTCGCAGAAAGGAATTTCAGGAGTAGACCAGCAGTGAAATAAACAGATTTTATTTGGAGGTTTTGGAGAGAAAGAGAGTGAGAGAGTAACGTACTCAAGAGAGAACACAGGCTTCTCCAAGGGCGGAGAGAGAGCCCCTACACACATCCTAGCATTAGACAGAAAAGCAAGAAAGTCCACATCTCAAGAGGGGAGATGCGGGCGACACATGTGCTCAGCCCACACGTGGCACAAGCAGCACAAGGGCTCAGGCAGCATATGTGCGCGCTTCCCTTGTTCAAGGTGGCCTTTATAGGGTTTCCCCAACCTGCCCCAGGTGGGCCTGTTGCAAAGGAGGTTACCAGGGGGGTTGGGAGTGGTGAGTGTCTTCTTTGAAATTCCTTTCCTGGCCTTTTGTTCCTGCGGGAGCTTCCCAGGGTCTGTTGCTGGAGCCAGGGGAGGGTCTTATCAGGCCTTAGTTCCTGTTTTCCTATTTCCTGCAGGGCTGGCTTTGGCCATTGCCTTGGGAGGGGCCTTCTCTGTCTACCTGCCTACGTCGTCCTCAGCTCTGCCCTGCAGGTGGTTCTCAGTAGAATGAGGCCTCAAAGAGGGAGAGGGCGTGGAGGTGGAGGCTTCTGAGAGGATCCCCCTGGCTCTGACCGAAGACTCAGGAAGTCGGGGTTGCTCTCCTGGGAGCAGAGGGTCCCGGGAGGCCCGTTGGCGTGGAGCGCTCTTGGCCCGGGGAGCTCCCTCGGGCAGGGCCCCTGCCTTGCCTGAGGAAGTCCCAGCGGCTGCTCTGTCCCCTCGGACCTTTGTGGCACAGAGCCCCGGCTGCTCCGAGGGAGACGCCCCGTCTGCGGGCGCGAGGGTGCTTGGCCCGAGAGGCCTTACAGGTGGGTGTGGGGCACGCAGAGCGAGGAGGTGGGGGGCCCAGCGCGGCGCTGAATCTGTCAGCAGAAGTGTTTGGGGGCACAGGTCAGGAGCAGAGCCCCTCCCGCCTGCACCCCTGCAGCCAGGCACACACGTGCAGCTTGCTTCGGGCGGAGCAAGGCAGAGCTTTTAGCGAGGCAGCAGGTGGGTCCCTGTGAGTCCGCAGACACCCAAATGCCTCCACTTTGCCCCCAGGATCTTGGCTCCCTTGGCCTCTGGCCACGGACGGGGCAGCCCCGGGGGGCCGTGTGGCGGGGGTGGCCAGCCAGTTCCTGTGGCAGGGGACGTGGAGATGAGGGCCCAGAGACCTCGCTGAGTCAGGCGGACCCCTGGCTGGAGGGACTACACAGTCCAGGCGCCCGTAATGGGCATTCCCGCCCGAGGGGGCACTCAGGTCCCTGTGGAGGCTTGCGTTGCCCTGGGGCCTGGGTCCAGGCCTGTCCTACATCCTCCCTGCGGCCTCTGTCCATCTCTGGGGCCACGAGTTAGGTTTTTATTTTCATTTGGTGGTGTGGGTTGGGCTCTCCGAGAGAGGCAGAGGAATCGAACCCGGCTCGGCAAGCTATTGAGAGTATCTCGCCCGCATGGCAGAGCCTGGCAAGCTACCGTGGCGTATTCGATATGCCAAACACAGTAACAAGTCTCAAAAATGGAGACGTTACTGGGCCCGCTCGAACAAATTGATGAACAACGGGAGGACAGTGTTTGTTTGGTGTGGGTTGAGGATGGGCACTCCCAGCAGTGCTCAGGGTTTACTCCTGCCTCCTCTTGGTGGGAGCCGGGGACCATCTGGAGTCCAGGGAGGGGGCGCGGACATTCAGAACTTCCTTGGAGCATAGGGCACAGGGCAGGCAGGGGGACACAGACAGAGCCTGGGTGACCGAGCTGGTCCCCAAAGAGGACAGAGAGGCTGAGCGGATGTCACACTTGCTGGGGGGGAGGTCCCCGGCTTCAGGCCAGCTGTGATGGCTGGAGGAAGCATGGCCCGAGTGAAGGAAGTGTGAGGGCAGCATGAGGGGTCGCGTTGTTGTTCAGTGTCACCTCTGGCATGGTCAGGGCTGACTCCTGGCAGGGCTTGGGGGACCCTGTGGGATGCCGGGGACGAACAGGGGTCGGCAGCATGTAAGGCCAGTGCCCCGCCCGCTCTACCATGGTCTCAGCCCCCTAAGAAATTTTTTTTTTTTTTTTTTTTTGCTTTTTGGGTCACATCTGGCTTTGCACAGGGGTTACTCCTGGCTCATGCACTGAGGAATCTCCTGGCGGTGCTCAGGGGACCATATGGGATGCTGGGAATCGAGCCTGGGTTGACCGCGTGCAAGGCAAAGGCCCTGCCCGCTGTGCTATCCTCCAGCCCCCCCAAGACATCTTTTAAACTAAAAAGCAACTAACGGAAGGGAAAGTGTGTGTGTCCCTGGGGCACCCAGAAGGGGGCTGGTCCCCCTCTCGGACGCGCCCTTCTCCTGTGTCCTTGCTCCCAGTGAAGGCTCGGGGCCTCCGCTCCTCTCACGCTGCTTCTGTGGAGCTCGCAGCCCCGGGACGGGACGTTCTGCCTCGCGCTGCTGTTGCTGCTGTTATCTGCGGCGGCGGCAGTGCTGACAGGCTTCTGGGCGAATGCAGCGTTCTCGTGCTCCCCGGCACAGTCACATCTATTATTTTTGTCTGATGAGAAAATAGACTTTTGGGGGAGTAGTGTGTGTGTGTGTGTGTGTGTGCGCGCGCGCTCACAGTGTCAGGATCTAACTCAGAACCTCACACATGCAGAGCAAGTGCTTTCCTCTTGACTTACAGCCTCAGCCCAAGCATCCTGACTGGTGTGTACATTCAGAGAAACTGAGGCACAGAAAGACTGCCCAAAGTTACCTACTGCGTTAATAACAGAGCAAGCTGAAGGGCTGGACTGGTCAGCCAAGCCTGAGCCACAGGGCCCTCCTCCTCCCCCTCCTCCCTCCTCTCCTCCCACCTGCCTCCCCTTCCTCCCTTCCCCCCAGATCCCTCCCCTCCCTCGGAGGTGCAGGCTTGGGCTTGAGGGGCTCCAGGTGAGCTGCAGAGAGCTGGCTGTCAAGACAGGCTGCACAGGGCCCCCAGGAGGGACCGTGCCCCAGGGCAGTGCAGGTGACACCCTCATCTAGCCCCTCTGCCTTTCAGAGAGGGGCCGTTCCTACCCCCTGGCACAGCCTGGATCAGTCAGTCTCTCACTGGCCACACTCCTCGCCTCCACTCTGTTCTGTGGTCTGTGGCCCGGAAAGCAAAGGCACCTCCCAGATGGAGCCCACTCCTGACCCTGGCGTTCGGGGCCTCTTGAAGGCCTGCTCTGAGTGGCCACGCAGGCCCGCCCACTGCTGTGCTGGACACAGCTCTGGGACATGCTGGGCTCTCCAAGGCTGCCCCTTGTTGCAGCCCTGACGCCTACCGGGACACACCGCTCAGTCCCACTGCTGTGAGGACGGATGGGATCCGGGTGGCCAGTGTGGGTCTCACCTCTGCCCGGTGTTTGCCCCTGGACTGTGCTCTGGGCCCTGGGTCCCCCAGGAGGAGGGTGCAGAGTCCCCTGGCATCGGGGACTCTGGCAGCAGAGAGGCAGGGACAGGGTGACCCTCGGCTGGACAAGGGCAGCAGGACAGTCCCTGCCGGCCCAGGGCCCCAAGGGCCCGGTGAGCCAGGGCTTGACACATTGGCCGCATGCTGCTGGGTGCCCCTTCCATATTGTGGCCCACAGCGCTGCGGGTGTTCCCCTGCTCTTTGTTGTGACTGTGACGTGGGCAGTGGGGGCAGACTCGGTGAGCAGCACCCAGGACCGTGGCTGCTGCCCCAGGGCTCGGGGTGTGTGAGGGTCCCTGATGTGTGAGACACCTTCGCTTTCCAGCCTGTTCGAACAGGTGAATTGACTCGCCTCTGCAGGTGATGGAAGCGAAGCACGCCAGGTAGGTTTGACTGGAAGATTCTAACAGTCGGATGAGAATTCACAGTGGCCACTGGAGGGGGAGGGATGCCGAAGAAGGGCCTGCGGGAGCCAGTGACACTGTCCAATTATGCTGCGAGTGACTTGCTTGGAGCAGGGAGGGACGAAGTGGCAGCCCTAAGAGCGGAGGCGACTGTTGCCCTCTGCGCCCTCCTCTGCCTGGCTTGGGGTGGTGGGTAGGACGGGTAGATCCCGAGCATCAACAAGCTTCAGACCTCCCCTCTCAACAGCCCCGCACCACGGTCCTCAAGCAGAGCTCCGCTGGGAATTGATCCTCACGGCCTGGGAATTGACCCCTGCCACTTGATTTTCTTTTTTCTTTTCTTTTCTTTTCTTTTCTTTTCCTTTCTTTCCTTTCCTTTCCTTTTGGGTCACACCCAGCGATGCTCAAGGGTTACTCCTGGCTCATGCACTCAGGAATTACTCCTGGCGGTGCTTGGGGGACCATATGGGATGCCGGGGATCGAACCCAGGTCAGCTGCGTGCAAGGCCCTACCCACTGTGCTATCACTCCAGCCCCATCTT